TATATATAGTTAATGAGAAAACTCTTGTGTGATACGAATTGCGTGTCACTTTTTGTCATTATTTTTTAACTTTCAGTCGAATTAACTGTGATCAATTACAACATCTGTGGTGTCTGAGGAAGCTGAGCACATCTGTGGTTTCTACAYGATTATAAACTGATCTAAAAACAGACGGAACGTCTCAGTTCAACTGATGAGTGTCTGTAACACAGAAGAGAAATACAATAAGAACTGTAAAAAAATAAAACAATAAAAAAAGGTTACTCAAAGGCAGAAACACTACATTTGTGACCCATCACATCAAACTGAGGATTAAGTCAAATTTGGTCAAAATGACCAGAGTAYRTTTTCTGATTCCTGCTTTTTAAAGCTACATTTTGATGCCTGAATCATCCTGATATCATGAGCAGTTCTAGAGATATGCCTTAATTTGTCTTCCAAATTGGTATGAATCCTAATTAAATATTATGTTAATGAGGAACCTTTGACACCAGTTTAAAGAGGAAACCTTAATATTTGRAAAATAAAATTTATCAGCTCAAAAGAAACAGAAAATTGCAGAGAAAATAAAAATGTGAGGCTTTTCTGCTCAAAATCATGTTTTTTGTTGCTGCTGTTCAAAAAGGGGCTTCAGAAACATTCTTTGAGAAAATAATTCAGACATTTCATTGAAACGACCTGTAGATAAGGTATTTATTCATTATATTTTGACAAAATGCAATTGCTGCAGATGTAACCATAGCTGCCTATTTTTCCACATACCGTACCACTTTAAGACTGAATCCTCTGTTCGATGTGATGGCTCACATTTGATGAAGAGTGACCTACTAAAGATCAGACTCCAATCAGCACAGTCTCTGCAGTAATCAGGATGTATAGAACCTGCTAAAGTACCATCAATCAGAGCTGCTAAAAGGATGCCATAGACGGTGCACTTCCTGGATGTGAGTACTTCAAACTCAACAGGAGGGTTGTCAAGGGAGGTTTGAATTTCTCGTACATCTCAACCAGCGTAGAGTACTCTAAGTTTGGATTTGATGGAGGACACCCAAACAAAACTCTTCATCAGCTTAAAATGAGTCCAGAATATTCGGCACGAGCCACGCCAGCCGCACAGTGAAGCACAAAGACAGGACCGTGGTTCTGTTGGAAGGTGTCACTCGAATGGTGTYGCGAGATGACGTTTTATTGACGGCACCATGAATGCCTGCAGACTTGCCAGAAACACTGTCTGCCAGTCCACCGACTCCCAGTTCTGAGGAGCTTGGCAGAGGAGAGACATTCAGGCGGCGTAAAGCTGCCAAGACGCACCGCTGAAATCAGACCAGCATCGAGAGAACAAGACAAAAAATACACCAGTCGAAAAATAAATAAATAAATAAAATATCCAGTAGAAGATTTTTGGGTGGTATTTTAAAGAGACAGTTCAGAACAGAAGGGGTTCAATTGAAAGGTTATGAACAATCAATATCTTACCTGTTGTGAACAGACTTTCAAGAAAACAAGGTTGCAGGGTTTTTGTGTTTTGCCGGTCGAGTTTGTTCTTTTTATGTTTGGTTCTTTGTGTTCTGTCAGCTGTCGTAATGTTTGTGTAGTAATTACGTATAGAGGTGCCATCTGTGATTGGAGGATGGAGACCAGGGAGCTGTATGGTGATTGGCTGCCTGATGAATGTCCTGAACATGGATGATGCCAAGTTTCCCAGTCTGTAGCATCCAAGCTAAAATTAAAGTTAGATTTGTTTTGTTTGTTGTTTTGGTATTGGTCTCGCCTCGAAGTTAAGATGCTCCAGTTATGTTTAGATGCACAAGAGCTGGAAATAAAATCACTTTTTTCTTTAAACTACGATGTTCTCAAGTGGCACATTTGAGTGGTGCAGAGGTTGAGAATTTCCAACTTTTGTTACATAACAGAACTCTTGCTGTCTGTTCATTGTTTATTAGTTATTTGGTATTTAGTTATTCAGATTCTGGTAACAGATTATCCACTTTGTTCTGTTTTTTCAGCTTCACTCACACCTGCTTCTCATCAGTAGCTGACACACCTGTTTTTCATCTACTAATCATCCTTCCTGGTATTTATACCCCTTGTTTATTTTTGTTTCCTGTTAGTTTGCTCAATTGTGTACTTGTTTTTAGTTTTTGTTTTATTCCTATTTTATTGTTTTTGTTGTTTTCAATCATTTTAATCTTTGTTTTGTGTTTTTCAGGTCTTATTTTACACGTACAGCACTTTATTGCAGCTGTGGTTGTTTTAAAGTACTTTATAAATAAATTAGTAGTAGTAGTAGTAGTAGTAGTAATAGTAGTAGTAGTATTAGTAGTAGTAGTGTATTGCTCCATGTGTTTGCCAGTCCTACATCATTTAGGATCTTTATTCATTTATTTATTTATTTATTTATTTTGCCTGGATCTTTGTAGCTTTAATAATTAAATAAAAATTTGCCTTTGGAGTGTGCATGTTGGGTCTGTCTGTCACTCTTTCAAGACAATAAAATAAAATTCTGACTACAGTGATGAGCTAATGGCTAGTCAAAGTGGTGCTAATACCAAAGGGAATTTCACTTATTTGCAACAACTCCAACTTTAACAATTCCTTTTTCAATTTGTCTACATGAACATTAGGAAATCTTCACAATGCTAATAATTTTACAAATCGTTATTTCTACATAAAAACATTTACAATATTGTTGCAGGAAATTATTTGGCACTTACAAATGACCCTAAAACTATATGTAAATATCTATGTAAGAGTGCCAAATTAATCGTGTTGTAATTTTAAAAATAATCATTTTAGCTCGTTAGTCTGGTTAAACAACTTCTCCAAACTGAGGATGAACAAAGTCTTATCTAGAACATGTAAGATGCTTATTGTTCATAGCCACATTACCACACTTCCAAAGAAACTACTGTGTTCCTTTAAAACGATGTCACTGATGTTTTTGGTCAAATGGTTAAAAGAAATCATGTTACTCTCATTTCTTTTTAATGAAATAAATCAGAACAAGTTTTCTAATTATACTCGAGCAAACAGTCTGAAGTTTTAATTACATAGTTTGAAAAATAATCCTTCTTGGACTGAGGTGTGCTCAGMTCATTTGTGAAAGGTCCTTCTTTGCATGTTTAGTGGACAGCATGCAGCGCAGACGGGTCTAATGGCTGACATCTGCCCGTCTAATTGAATCCGTGTGCGCGCCCCGCTCATCCCACCGCACTCTGGGGCCTAATTTATTGTCGAGATTACATCTGCTTCTGATCAGTGTGATCGTTAGATCTGTGGAAACTGTTTTGGCACCTTGTCAGGGGCGATAAACAGGAGTTTCACATGAGTGGTCTGGTCAGCAGGACTCCCCCTTCCTACATGAAGATCATCTGTTTCTATCTACTGTACTTTGAATATGTCTCCCACAGCACACACAGACAGGAATAATAAAAAAACAAATAGTCAGATTTACAGTCCTGAATGTGATATAAAACACAGAGAGTAGGTAATGAATTCTGGGACAAATACGGCCGTGTGGTTTGAAAGCCTCATGAAAATCGCTGCCATGTTTCAATATTTAGAAATACAAAAAGCAACCCTGTCTCTTTGTAGAAAAGTAAAAGAATAGACCAGCCTCTTTAATGAAAGCTTTGTATTCCTTATTTCTGAAATGATAACGCTGCCAGCTTCCAGGGTGTTATCGAGGCTAACTGAACAACTTCCAGTTCTAATAAAGCAGCAGCAGCAGCTTTATTATCCAAGTAATATTCAAACAGAATATCTGTTTCAGTTTGAAAAAAAAAAGACTCAGTTTTCCTGTGAACCTCCCAAAAATAACAGAACAAAGCTTCCACAGAGCTGCGGACTAAATGACTCCTGAAGAGAAAATAAAAATCCTGATTAAAAATGAGATGTTTTGACAAAACCGACAATTAAATTTTCGTAATTACCATGCAGCTTTCTCTGACAATTACCTTTGAATGGCATTAAAAAACCATTAAAAGYAGTCTTTTATAATGGATGTTCCATGCTGAGCCAGGTGAACAGGTCATTTAAGTACACTTTATTATAATTTTCAGAACTACAAGGGATGGTTTAGATCTTTTGACGTCAGGTTCTGGACAAATAGTATTTTACCTGTTGTAGATAGCTTTTCTGTAGTTTTTCACCATGCGATTCATACATTTATAAATGTCATGGTTTATAAAGTAAATATTTAACTTATTAAATATTTAGTTAATGGTAACAAGCTAAATATTTAACTTGTGACTTAAATATTTAGTTTTGAGCTAAATATGTAGCTTGCAAGTTAAATATTTAGCTAGCAAGTTAAATATTTAGGTAGCTAGCTAAATATTTAACTTGCAACCTAAATATTTAGCTAGCTACAGTACCTAAACATTCAAGGTAAATATTGAATTAGCTG